TTTATATTATATTATATTATATTTGTGTGTTATTATATCGCGCGTTCAATTTTGGGGATGATTCTCAAAGGGATGGAAAATAATACAATCAAAAATATCTAATTATATTCTACAATTTTGTTGTTCCTACACCACATTCCTATTGAGAAACGTATTATTTTAATCGCGCGTATTTACTTTTTTTTTTTTTCTTTTTTTTTCTTTTTTTTTTTTCAAATATAATATAATTTTTTTCCCCTTTGGGATATGATGACCGATTCCTCCCCCCTCTCCTCCCCGTCTCCCCAGGGGGAATATATAAAAATGAGATAAAAAGAAAAATATTCTAAAAGCTTGCGCGTTCGCGACAATTTTATTTATATTTTATTTCATTGCTATTTACATTCGCTCGTATTAAATTTTGTTATCGTACTTTTTCTTTTTTTTTCTTTTTTATTTATTTATTGGCCATCGTTTTTATCTTTTCCTATTCTTTTTTTTTTGTTATTTTTTTGAATAAAAATTATTTCTCTTTTTATTCCCACAAAGAATTCGTTCTTTCTTTTATTGTTTTTTTTCTTTCTTTTTTTTTCTTTCTTGTTCTATCTTTACTTTAACGTATAAGGAAAAAAAGTATACAGGTATGTATATATGAATTATTCAAGAGTAATAATATTAGAAAGAAAATTGTTGTTATTATTATAGATGGGATATAATGATCAAATAGAAATAAATCTTACCTTTACTAAGCCATACACGAGAAGAATACTACAGATTATACCGGAACACGAACATATCAACAATGTTATGTTGAAACGTAATGTTGCTGAAAGAATACAAAATTCTATATTTAATTGTTCATCCTTAATATATAATATATTAATTTGTTTCTTTTATTTTGTATTTATTAATAACTATGTGATCACTTACCAGGTGATATTGTACCGAGTTCTAAGATACTCGAGGACTCTGGTAACAATCGATTTCCAGATAAATATTCGCTCTCAGATTGCAATATCGTGCCAGTTATTATGGCTAATAAAGTAAAGTAAATCTGTAATATGATATTAATAATAATTCTCATTGTACTACTAATAAAAAAAGGATTAAATTAATGTTAATTTGGAAATAAATATTATTTATCCGATTTATATATTATAATATTTGGGTTGTGGGCTCAAAAAGTATTGTCTTTAAATTTCCTGCCGAATCTTTCATATTTTCATAAATATAATTTATAAAAATTGTCACACGAACTTTCCCTAGTTCTAATCCACATACATATGTGTATATATATATATATAACAAAATCGAATAGATTATATATATACAGATATGTATAATAAAAATAATACAATAATAAATGAAAATAT